ATTTAACCAATATTACAATTAGTATCATTTCTACTACATCTACGATATCATTATTATTATTACTACTACTACTACTACGACGACTACTACTACTACTAGAAGTATTAATAGTACGCTCGGGTTCCGCGCGTCTATGTTTCGCGCGGTTTCCGGGCGTTATGCGCGTCATGCGCATCTGCGTTTTTCGCGGGTTCCGCGCGTGTAGCCGCATTCAGATTTCTTCAAGAAATTAATATATTACGACTAATATTACTACTTGGGAACCTTTACATAATAACCTTGGGGACCTTGAGAACATTTACGTGGAAAACTTGGGAACCTTGAGGAAACCTTTACAATACAACCTTGGGAACCTTGACAACCTTTACTTGGGAAACTTGGGAATCTTTACGGAACCTTGACAATGCAACCTTGGAAGCTTGAGGAAACCTTGACAATATAACCTTGGAACCCTTGAGAACCTTTACAATGTAACCTTGGGAACCTTGAGGGAATCTTTACAATGCAACCTTGGAAAGCTTGAGGAAACCTTGACAATATAACCTTGGAACCCTTGAGAACCTTTTACAATGTAGCCTTGGGAACCTTGAGGGAACCTTTACAATACAACCTTGGGAACCTTGGAAAACTTGGGAACCTTCAGGGAACCTTGAAGAAACCTTGAGGGAACCTTGACAATCTAACCTTGGGAATCTTATAGAAACCTTTACAATGTCACCTTGGGAACCTGGACCACGTTTACTTGGGAACCCTTACATAATAATCTTGGGAACCTTGACAACCTTTACTTGGAAAACTTGGGAACCTTGCAGGGAACCTTGAAGGAACCTTGAGGGACTTGAGGGAACCTTTTGGGAACCTTTTGGGAACCTTGAGGGAACCTTCAAAACCTTGGAAACCTTGGGAACCTTGGAAACCTTGGGAACCTTGGAAAGCTTGGGAACCTTGGGAACCTCTACTTGGGAACCTTTACTTGGGAACCTTTAAATGGGAACCTTTACTTGGAACCTGGGAACCTTGGGGGAATGGGTTTTGGAGCTGCTCCGGTCTGCTCCGAAACCTTTACTATGGCTGAAGACCCCAAAGCTTCTGCTGTGGGGGAAAAATACATGTTTCACATCGTGACGCATTGTTCATGCAATTTCAGTTCAGGTGTCTTGGCTGAAAACCTCGGGAACCTTTACAATGTATTCTTGGGAAACTTGAGACATTTACCTTGTACCCTTGGAAAGCTTGAGGAAACCTTGACAATGTAACCTTGGGAAGCTTGAGGCAACCTTTACAATGCAACCTTGGGAACCTTGAGAACGTTTACTAGGAAACCTTGAAAACCTTGAGGAAACCTTTGCGGTTAAACCTTGGGAACCTTGAGGGAACCTTGACAATCTAACCTTGGGAAACTTATAGAAAACCTTACAATGTCACCTTGGAAACCTGAACGACATTTATTTGGGAACCTTTACATAATAACCTTGGGGACCTTAAGAACATTTACGTGGAAGACTTGGGAACCTTGAGGGAACCTTTACAATACAACCTTGGGAACCTTGACAACCTTTACTTGGGAAACTTGGGAATCTTGAGGGAACCTTTACAATGCAACCTTGGGAAGCTTGAGGCAACCTTTACAATGCAACCTTGAGAACCTTGAGAACGTTCACTAGGAAACCTTGAAAACCTTGAGGAAACCTTTGCGGTTAAACCTTGGGAACCTTGAGGGAACCTTGACAATCTAACCTTGGGAAACTTATATACGTATAGAAACCCTTACAATGTCACCTTGGAAACCTGAACGACATTTACTTGGGAACCTTTACATAATAACCTTGGGGACCTTGAGAACATTTACGTGGAAAACTTGGGAACCTTGAGGGAACCTTTACAATACAACCTTGGGAACCTTGACAACCTTTACTTGGGAAACTTGGGAATCTTTACGGAACCTTTACAATGCAACCTTGGAAAGCTTGAGGAAACCTTGACAATATAACCTTGGAACCCTTGAGAACCTTTACAATGTAACCTTGGGAACCTTGAGGGAACCTTTACAATGCAACCTTGGAAAGCTTGAGGAAACCTTGACAATATTACCTTGGAACCCTTGAGAACCTTTACAATGTAACCTTGG